CCCACCCGTATCTGCACCCACCTACCGTGCACATCTGGACACGCACCCGTATCTGCACCCACCTACCGTGCCTGTCTGGACGCCCACCTGAGTCTGCAGCCCACCTACTGTGCATGTCCAGACTCCCACCCGTATCTGCACCCACCTACCGTGCCTGTCTGGATGCCCACCTGCATCTGCACCCACCTATCATGCACATCTGGATCCCCCACTTACCATGCACATCTGGCACCCACTTACCATGCACATCCAGAGACCCACCCCTCCCTCTGCCCACCTACAGTGCACGTCTGGACACCCACACACATCTGCACTCACCGACCGTGCACATCTGGACACCCACCTACACCTGCACCCACCTCTCCACACAGACCCAACCACGACTGCACCCGTCACCCGTCTGTCGCCCAGCACCCACCTCCCTGCGCACCCCCTGACACCCACCTGCCTCTGCATTGCCCCCCCAAGCCCACAGCCCCGGCGCTGAACCCCAAATCTCCCTCCCTCCCCATTAACCAGGGAGAGGCCAGAGGCGCGGGGCCTCCTTCCCATCCCACCCCCTTCCCGAACCCCCATCCCAGCTGGGGCTGGGGTGCAGCGGCCATGGGATGCTCCGCAGCATGGACAGAGAGATGATTCAGGCGAGTCTCCAGGGCAGAGCGGTGGCACGTTCACTGTTACTTATTGAAGCCAGTCTCTAAAAAAGCCCCCCAAAGCTCCCCAGGGAGCCTGAAGGACATTAAGGGGAGCAGGCAGGGCCCTTTGGTGGCCTTGCTTAAAAAAAGCAAGGCACAAACAGGGCTTTTGTTTTAAAGATCTCCCTTCAAGCAAAACAAGCACCAGATCCTTTAGCTTGCAGGATCTGGCCCAGCTCCTCCAGCATCCCTGGATCCCCACGGATCCCTCGCAGCCGCAGATCCCGTCCCGTGGCCGTTGGGGAGGATTCACGGGAGGGAGGAAACGCTGCTCCGGTGCGTTCGAGGGAACTGAGCCATCTCAAACCTGGTGCTGCGAGCACAAAGCGTTTTCCTCCAGCCAAATCCAGCACAGGAAGCACAGTCCCTGGGTTCTCATTAAGCAGTCGTTGGTATTAGGCAAGTCCTGATTAGCCGTGTTTACCCTCCGCAAACCCCCCCTCTGCGTTATTGTTTAGCCTTAGAGCGATGGGCACGGAGATGCAGCCTGGGCCAAGCCACTTACAGGAATAGTAAAGACACCAGAAAGGGATTTGAGGCAAATCGAAACTGTTTAATTAGGGGGAAAAAAATATCCAAAGTTTCAGCTTGGAAAAAACGAGCAAATAATAACAACCCCAGGGCAAATACTTATATTTTCTGTAATGTCCAAGCATTGTGTTCCGATATTTTTGGAAGTGAAAAGATTTTTTTCTGGGTAAATCTTTCCTGGGTTAGTTCAGGGGGGTTACATC